AATTTTGTTTCTATTAATGTTCCTTATTTTAGATGAAGCATTTAATACCTGTTTGCTGCCCCATCATGCAAAATAAGGTAATGTAATAATAATGAAGCCTATTGTGTACTTACTTTGCACCAACCTCTGCTATAAGTAAATTAAGCTGATTAGTTAAATTACCATTCACTTGATAAATTATAGTTACTATTACTAGCATACTTATTCTGTAGGTGATGAAAGAAAGGCAAGGAAAATGTAAGTAAACAAAACTAATCATCAGAAGAAGATGGAATCAAGATTTGAACCCTGACAGCTTGGCTTCTGAGCTGGCACCCCTATACTATGATTTATGAAGATTTCCTTATTTCATTTTTTATTCCTTCATCATTTACTATATTTCTAGGAAAAAAAAAATCATATCCACCCACACACAAATGTAAAAGTTTTCAACATGATAGCCCTGAAATAAGTTTTACGTTAATGCTATATACTTAAATAAGAAATCTATGGAGGAGGTATAAATTAAACTTAAAATTGGGGGGACTATTAGTTAGCAAAATATGTCCTTCACAAACCTTTATCTTTTAAACAAACTGAAAGCTCAGTTCTTAAAATCTTCAGCTAATAAAACAATTTAGACCACTTATTATTTTTATTTTTTTGTTTATTTTTACTTTTTTAGACCACTTATTTTTAAATTATAGTCAATCATTTATTTCACATTCATTTAGTTAGGATAAGAAGTGGAGGTAGGCTGGAAGATAGAATTATAGGTAATCATCAGATGATTTATTAATTTACTATTAAAGTACTATTGTTCAGAAAACATATACTTGGTTGTCATATATTCATATGAATAGAAAAAGGAGAGTAGAAAATGAGCCACATGCATTTAAAACTATTAGATAACCTTAAAATGAGTATTCAGAAACATGGATACTGTAAGGCATTGAATAAAATCATTTTTCCTCTTGGTTCTCTGTTAAAACTTACTGATGGCAAAAACAAAATTAGGAAAATAGAGAAGATAAACATCTTCAGAGAAAGAATTATAACCCCAAACCACAAACTGTGGAGCAAACATGCCAGATATTATGATATCTTAACTGAAACAAGAAAGATCTGAATGCTTTCACATTTTTTTAAAGATCTTATTTATTTATTTGACAGACAGAGAGAGCAGGAGCAGGGGGAGGGGCAGAACAAAAGGGAGAAGCAGACTCCCCACTGAGCCTGATGCTGAGCTCAATTCCAGGACCTTAGGATCATGACCTTGATCAGCTAATTAAACCAAGCAAATATTTAATTAGCTGAGCCACCCAAGAACCCCATACTTTCACATTCATCATCCATGTATCTTTAGAATGAACATTTTGCTAAATATCATGTCACTATTCTGGGAAGTACAACTCTAAAATTTTTTTCTTAAAATAATAACATCTTATGGAATGGTTTGATAATGGTGAAAAAAGGAAAGCCAATGTAGAGTAACTCAGTGTTGTGTAACCATAAAATGAAGGAAATTGAAGTGGATGAAGAATCATTTTTATTTCATATACACTGGGCTCTATGAAGAAGGAAACTCACTGAAGTAAAGAGAAGCAAAAGGAAGAGGAAAAGCCTTAACCCACAGTTGATAGCACAAATATCTTATAGCCCCAGGAAACTAAATCTGAGTCACAATATCTCTGAAAAAGTGAATGCTAATGGTAGGCATTTCCTCTGTGTAGGAAAATTAGTAAGATAGTATTCCATAACAGAAACCTAGATAAAAGAATGATATAAACTGCAATACCTATACCACCCTTCCCTGAAGTATCCCTTAGGTAATACCTAAATCTATTCTAACAAAAGAAGTCCTTGACTTACAAGGGAAAACCCATAAGACTAGCTGGATATTTCTCAACAGAAACTTGGCAAGCCAGAAGGGAGTGGCATGATATATTCAAAGTACTGACTGGGAAAAATCTCCAGCCAACAATACTCTATCCAGTAAGGGTATCATTCAAAATAGAAGGAAAGATAAATAGTTTCCCATACAAACAAAAACTAAAGGAGTCCATGACCACCTAAGTAGCACTGCAAGAAATATTAAAGAGGACTCTTTGAGTTGAGGAGACACCAAAAGTGACAAAAGCAAGAAAGGATCAGAGAAAATCTCCAGAAACAATGACAAAACAAGTAATAAAATGGCAATGAATACATATCTACCAGTAATTACTTTGACTGTAAATAGACTAAACTTTCCAGTCAAAAGATCCAGCTTGTCAGAATGGATTAAACAAACAAACAAACAAACAAACAAAAACAAGACCCTCTTATATGTTGCCTCATTTTAGACTGATAGACACCTGAAGATTGAAAGTGAGGGGGTGGAGAAACATTTGTCATGCAAATGGATGTCAATAGAAAGCTGGAATAGCAGTATTTATATTGGAAAAACTAGACTTTAAAACAAAGACTATAAAAAGAGACAAAGAAGGACATTATATAATCATAAAAGGGATGATTTAACAAGGAGATATAATAATTGTAAATATTTATGCTCCCAACATGGGAGTACACAGATATATAAAAAACAATTATTAAGAAACATAAAGTAACTAATTGATAATGACACAATAATAGTAGGAGACTTTCAGACTCCACTTACATCAACAGACAGATCATCTAAACAGAAAATAAACAATGAAAGAATGGTTTTGAATGCCACATTGGACCAGATAAACTTAGCAGATATATTCAGAACAGTCCATCCCAAAACAGCAGAATACACATTCTTTTAAAATACACATGGAACATTCTCCAAAATAGATCACATTTTATGTCACAAAACAGGCCCCAACTGATAGAAAAAGATTGAAATCATACCATTCACTTTTTCTGACCACAATGCTATGAGACTAGAATTCAACCACAAGAAAAAATTTGGAAAGATCACAAATACTTGGAGGCTAAAAACATACTACTAAGCAATGGGTCAATGAGGAAATCAAAGAATAAATTAAAAAGTACATTGAAACAAATGAAAATGGAAATACAATGGTCCAAAATCTCTCTCTTTTTTTTAAAAGATTTTATTTATTTATTTGACAGACAGAGATCACAAGTAGGCAGAGAGGCAAGCAGAGAGAGGGGAGGAAGCAGGCTCCCTGCCCAGCAGAGGGCCTGATGTGGGGCTCTATCCCAGGACCCTGGGATCATGACCTGAGCTGAAGGCAGATGCTTTAACCCACTGAGCCACCCAGGCACCCCACAATGGTCCAAAATCTTTGGAATGTAGCAAGAGTAGTCCTAAGAGGGAAGTATATAACAATACAGGTTTTTGTTAAGAAGCAAGAAAAATCCCAACTAAACAATCTAATCTTATACTTAAGGAGCTATAAAAAGATCTATAAAGGAGTTGTAAAAAGAAGACCAAATGAAGCCTAAAGACAATAGAAGGAAGGAAACAATAAAAATTAGAATAGAAATAAGTGATATAGAAACTGGAAAACAACAACAACAACAATAGAACAGTTCAATGAAACCAGGAGCTGGTTTCTTAAAAAATAAAATAAAATTGATAAATCTCTAGCCAGACTTACCAAAAAGAAAAGAGAAAGGAGCCAAGCAAGGTCAACACAAATGAGAGAAAAGAAATAACAACTAACACCACAGCAATACAATTCTAAGAGCATATTATGAAAAAATATATGCCAACAAATTGGACAACCTAGAAGAAATAGATAAATTCCTACAAACATATAAACTACCAAAACTGAAACAGGAATAGAAAACCCAAGCAAACTGATAACCAGAAATGAAACTGAATCAGTAATCAAAAAATCCACAACAAATAATAGTCCAGGGCCAGGTGGCTTCAAAGGTGAATTCTACCAAACATTTAAAGAAGAGTTAATACCTATTCTTCTCAAACCATCCCAAAAAGTAGAAAAGGAAAACTTACAAATTCATTCAGCCAGCATTACCCTGATATCAAAACCAGATAAAGACTCCACTGGTCACCTGTGTGGTTCAGTCAGTTAAGTGTCTGCCTTTGGCCCAGGTCACAATCCCAGAGTCCTGCGATCAAGCCCCTGTCAGGTTCCCTGATCAGCAGGGAGCCTGCTTCTCCATTTCTCCCTGCCTGCTTCTCCCCCTGCTTGTGTGTTCTCTCTCTCTGTCAAATAAATGAATAAAATCTTTAAAAAAAAAAAGACTCCATACTAGCAAACCAAATCCAACAATACATTAAATAAATCATTCACCCACCAATCAGGTGGGATTTATTCCTGGGTGGCAAGACATGGTTTAATATTCACAAATCAATCAACGTAATACACTACATTAATAATAAAAGGAGAAGAATCACTTCAATAGGTGCAGAAAAAAAATTTGACAAAATACCACATGCAATCATGATTAAAAAAAAAAAAACCCTCAACAAAGTAGACAGAGAGGAAACAAACAAACCTCAACATAATAAAAGGCATATATGAAAAACCTATAGCTAATATCCTCAAAGGGGAAAAACTGGGAGCATTTCCCCCATTTTCCTGAGAGTCAGGAAAAACACAGCAATATCCTTTCTCACTACTGTTATTTATCATAGTAATGGAAGTCCTAGCCACAGCAATAAGACAATAAAAAGAAACAAAAGCCATCCAAATTGGCAAAGAGTCAATAAAATTTTCACTATTTGCACATGATATGATGATATAATCCTCTATATAGAAAACACAAAGTACTCCACCAAAAAAATACTAGAGCTGATATACAAATTTAGTAAAGTTACAGGCTACAAAATCAACATACAGAAATCTGTTGCATTTTTTTATATACCAATAATGAAGCAAGAGGAAGAAAAATTAAGGAATCAATCCCATCTACAATTACACCCAAAACAGTAAGATACCTGAGTCACATCATATGCTATTGCTTCTTGGTCCTTGATGCCTCCATGGACTCTCTGGAATACTTGCAAACCAAAAAATGATGAGGTATTGTTCATCTACAGCCACTACAAACAAGCAGCTATGGGTGACATAAACACAGAATGGCCTAGACTATTGAATCTCAAAGGCAAGGCCAAGTGGGATGCCTGGGATCAGCTGAAAGGGACTTCCAAAGAAGATGCCATGAAAGCTTACATAAATGAAGTCAAAGAGCTATAGAAAAATTATGGAATATAAGAGACTGAACTTGGCCACCAGCAGTGCATTTCATCTAAACTGATATAATGCCTTGTTGTTCCAAGAATGTGGATGACTTGAAATCATGCAAATAGCCTGTTAACCTAGGTCCTGTACTGGCTCTATCAAAGTAGGGGCTAACATGGTTGGTGACTTGCACTGAGTAGTTTTTTATTCATAGATCAATTAAAAGTGTATATGTTACTTAAAACAACAACAACAACAACAACAACAACAAAACAAACAACAAATAAAGTACCTAGGAATAAACCTAACCAAAGAACTGAAAAACCACTACTCTGCAAATTATAAAACACTGATGAAAGAAGTTGAAGATGACACAAGGAAATAGGAAACCATTCCATTCTCGTGGCTTGGAAAAAGAAGTACTGTTAAAATGCCTATATTACCTGAAGCAATCTACACATTTATTTCAATCCCTATTAAAATACCACCAACATTTTTCACAGAACTAGAAAAACAATCCTAAAATTTGTATAGAACCCGTTATGAGCTGGAATAGGAAAAGTAATGTCAAAAAAGAAAAGTGAAGCTGGAGGCATCACAATTCTAGACTTCAAGTTATATTACAAAGACGTAGTGATCAAAACAGTATGGTACTGATACAAAACCAGACCCAGATTAACTGAACAGAATAGAAAACCCTGAAGTGAACCCACATTGACCAATTACTCAATTAATCTTCTACAAGTAGGAAAGAATATCCAATGGGAAAAAGACAGTCTTTTCAAGAAATGGGGTTGGGAAAATTGGACAGCCACATGCAAAAAAATGAGACTAGACCACTTCCTTTCACCGAACACAAAAATAAATTCAAAATGGACATCAAGACCTAAATGTGAGACTTGAAACCATGAAAATCCTATAGGAGAATACAGGTAATAACTTCTTTGACACTGGCCCTAGCAACTTCTTTCTAGATATGACTGTGGAGGAAAGGAAATAAAAGCAAAAATAAACTACCGGGGTTCATCAAAATAAAAAGTTTCTACATAGTGAAGTAAGTGATCAACAAAACTAAAAGGCAACTTATGGAGAAGATATTTGCAAATGACATATCTGATAAAGGGTTAGTATTCAAAATGTATAAAGAATTTATGAAATTCAACACCCAAAATTGAATAATTCAGTTAAAAATGGGCAGAAGACATAAACAGACTTCTTTTTTTTTAATTTTTTTAAAAGATTTTATTTATTTATTTGACAGAGATCACAAGTAGGCAGAGAGAGAGAAGGGGGAAGCAGGTTCCCTGCTGAGCAGAGAGCCTGACGCGGGGCTTGATCCCAGGACTCTGGGATCATGACCCGAGCCAAAGGCAGAGGCTTTAACCCACTGAGCCACCCAGGCACCCCAGACTTCTTCTTTTTTTGAGGATGTGAAGTATAGTCTTAAACAGACATTTCTCCAAAGAAGACTGACAGATGGCCAACAGACACATGAAAAGACGTTCAAACATTTTTCATTATCAGGGAAATACAAACCCAAACTACAATGAGATATCACCACATACCTGTCAGAATGGCTAAAATCAATGACACAAGAAACAACAGGTGTTGATGAGGATTTAGAGGAAGGAGAACCCTCTTGCTCTGTTGGTGGAATGAAACTGGTGGAGCCACTCTGGAAACCAGTAAAGAGTTTTCTCAAAAAGTTAAAAATAGAACTATCTTTTGATCCATTATTTAGACTACTAGGTATTTACCCAAAGAATACAAAAATACTAATTCAAAGGTATAAATTATCCTTTTTACAATTATAAAATAAATTATCTTTAATTTATAAAGATTTATTATCTACAAATGTTTATAGATAACAATGTTATCTACAACAGCCAAGTAATGAAACAGCCCAAGTGTCCATTGACCAATGAATGGATAAAATCTATCTATCTATCTATCTATCTATCTATCTATCTATCATCTATCTAATGGAATCATGCTTAGTCATTAAAAAATGACATCTTGTCATTTTCAAGGGCATAGGTGGAGCTTAACAGTATTATGCTAAATGAAATAAGTCAATCAGAGAAAGACAAATACCATATGATTTCACTGATATGTGAAATTTAAGAAATAAAACAAATGAGCAAAGAGGAAATAAAAAAGAGGGAGGCAAACCAAGAAACACACTCTTAACTATAGAGAACAAACTAATGGTTACCAGAGGGGAGGCCAGTGGGGGAGTGAGAAAAATAGGCAATGAGGATTAAGGAAAGCACTTGTTGTGATGAGCCATGGGTATTGTATGGAAGTGTGGAATCACTATATTGTATACTTGAAACATTATGCTGTATGTAAACTAACTAGAATTTAAATAAAAACTTTACAAAAAGAAATTTAACTAAAAATATTAAGGAATTCTAGGAAAGAAAGTCATAGAAACCATAACACCAGAAACTATATCCAAAACATGGTGAATAGCTACATGAAACCACACAAAATGAAATTAAAATGGCAAAGACAAGTTTCAAATATATAATATGATAATATTAATTATAGTCACCATACTGCACATTAGATATCCAGAATTTATTTATGTTGTGTAACTGATTTATCTTGTGTAACTTTGTACCCTTTGAATGACATCTCCCATTTACCCCCTCTCTCCAGCCCCTACCAACTACCTCTCTACTCTCTGTTTTTATGAGTTTCACTTTTTTAGATTCCACATATAAGTGGGATCATGTAGTCATTGTGTTTGGCTTATTTCACTTAGCATAATGTCATCCAGGTTCAATTATATTGTTGTAAATGGGAAAGTTTCCTGTGTTTTAAAGCTGAATAATATTCCACTGAATGTAAATACCGCATTACATTTCATGATTTGTAAATACCACATCCTTTATTAGACACTTAGATTATTTCCATATCTTGGTTATTGTGAATATATTGAAATGAACATGGGAGTGCAGATATCTCTGCAATATGTTGATTTCATGTCCTTTGCATATCTACTCAGAAATGGGATTATTGGATCATGTGGTAGCTCCATTTGTAATTTTTGGGAGAAACTTCATGCTGTTTTCCATAATGGTCCATACTGATTTACATTCCTACCACCAGTGCACAAGGGTTCCCTTATCTCCACATTCTCACCAACACTTGTTATCTTTTGTACTTTTTATTATCTTTGAAATTTGATAAGAGGGTAGTTATGTGTTTTCACCGTACACACAAAGAAGTCATATGTGAGATGCTGGATATGTTAAGTAGCTTGATTGTGGTAATCATTTCACAATGTACATGTATATTCAGTCGTCATGTTGTATACTTTAAATATATATAAAATTTGTTTGTCAATTTAACCTCAATAAAGCTAGAGAAAAAAAAATAAAATGTTCAGTGATAATACACTGTCCTGTTGTTACATGGTTTATACAGACTTTACATTTTTCATGGCATCCCATCTACCCACAGGATTGTCGCACAGCAAACAATGGAATAAAAAAGGCCAAGAGAAGAAGATGAGAACAAATCTCTATGTACACATTGGTCATAAGACAGGATGAAACCTCAGCTTGGAAGCATATTTTCTCAAAGCCAACTGATTTGAGCAAGAAGAGAATGTGCACAGTCCTCAATGGATAACATAACAGTCCATAAAAATTAATCTTCATCAAAAAAAGTAAAGGAAGAAAATGACAAAAGCATAGTAATCCTTAATAAGATGTTGGTAGATAGTAAAGCATGAAAATGGAGACCCAACATCAGTGTTTTGAAGAATAGGAATAAGCACTTACAATGAAAAATTACTTATTGAAAACTTTTAAGAAGGGACACCTGAATCTATAGATAAAAAAAGCACACTATTTTTAAGAGAAAAAAAATATAGATAGATAATGGCCAACACCAAGACTGACCTTGATTTAACTGCTAGATTTGGGGAAAAAAGAAATGACACAGCTGGCAAGTGGCAACTAAAGCAAGTCACTGAAACTTCCACTATAGCCATTGTCTGCCAAAGATATAGAAATTCAGGAAAAAGGGGACACCTGGGTGGCTCAGGGGGTTAAAGCCTCTGCCTTCAACTCAGGTCATGATCCCAGGGTCCTGGGATTGAGCCCCATATCAGAAGCTCTGTTCAGCAGGGAGCCTGATTCCTCCTCTCTTTCTGACTCTCTGCCTACTTGTGATTTCTGCCTGTCGAATAAATAAATAAAATCTTAAAAAAAAAAAAGAAATTCAGGAAAAAGTATAGGTGCCAACTGGTTTCATGCATTAGACAACAGGCAACACAAGACTGGTATGTGAGAGGTGGGAAACAAAAAGGTATGTCCTCAAATTGTGCCAGCTTACTTTCTGAAAGTGGTTTGCAGTCTGCTGCACAGCAATGTGCAATCCAAAAGGAAGTCGCATGACTGGCTGAATGTTAGAGTCAGAGATCAAAGTCTGGGGAAGCCAAGGCACTGGGATATAGCCAAACAGACTAACACAGGGAAGAGCCTTTAGAAAGAGAACTGTGGAGTCTTTGGGTTAGTACTAATCTGTGCCTGCATGAGAGAGGGAAAGAACCATCAAAAGCAATAAGCCAAAGGAATTCCTGGAACTCATGAAGGCCTGGGAAGATTTCACCTTTACTCCAGCCAGAAGGAAAGACATGTGACAGATACACTGATTATCAAGTCAAATTCTCAGAAGAATTAGACCTAACTAGTGTAACAAATCAGCTTCAGAGTTAAGTCTGCTCTGAACCCACCATTAACCAAGCGCATAAGCAAGACACAAAAATCATTCAACTAATCCCAATTACCTTAACTGCATATAAGAATAAAATCCATCTCTCTTTAAAGATATAGAATGAAATCCTTCACTCAACAGCACGAAATTCAAAATGGCCAATATACATTAAAAACTTACCAGAAATACAAAGAAGCAGGAAAAAAGGATCCATGCCAAGAAGAAAAATCAACAGATAGAAACATGAAGAAATGACAGATGACTGAATTAGCAAATGGAAAAGA